ATGACAGCTGGGATAGGCTCCTGCGACCCTGAAAAGGATAAGCGGAAGCGAATGGATGGATGCATCATTCCAAACAAAAAATTCACAAAAAGACCATAAACTCGAAAATGCTGGGTCACAGACCCAGCCAACTGACAGAAAGTTTCTTACTGTCAAATCTTTCTTCAAAAGAAACTAAACTAAATTAGATGATTTATTTAAATTAAAACCTAACATTTGCATTTTTAATTTGGAACTTTCATAGCCATTTTCAGCTGTCTTTTTCCTTTTTTCTCCAGGTAAACCATTTGACCCCCAATTTTTGTTAAGCAGCACTGTTTCTAATGTGATCTGCTGCCTGGTTTTCGGGGAACGCTTCAGTTTTGAAGACAAGCAGTTCCTGCACCTTCTGACCATCATATCTAAGATCTTAAAGTTCAACAGTAGTCCTCTTGGTCAGGTCAGTGGACATAATTACAAAAAAATTAACATATAAAAAAAAAAATACAACAAACATACTGATCAGATAGTTCTGCATTTTTTACCTCCAAACCAACAAACCTGAAGTGTCACAGTTAGCACTGGCCAACCGTGGGGATGTGAGGAAGGAGGACCCAAATGCTAGACTCTTTATGATAAACAGTGCCTTTATTTACAGTGGTGTAAATAATACACAGAATAATAAATCCCAGTGTGTTCCCTTGACTCCCACGTCGTATCTTCCACCCACAAGTCTGTGCTCTTCTGCTCCTGTGTGTCCGCGCACCCAGTGCTTGCTGTTCTTGTCTTCCATGCTCCTTCCTGGAGAAAATAACAAAGAAGCAACTGTCAGGACACTCAACCACTGCAGGCATGCACTCACTTAACTTGGCTCACAAAGCCCACTAACATGGAGTCTCACACAACAATCCCACACCAAGACGCGCTCAGCCACACTCTTAAGTAGCTCCCCGACTAGGCTTCATTAGCTGCAGGTGTGTGTGATCATCTGCTTTAGGTGTGGCCAGTCTCCAGATGGGACACACCCACCAGGCCTGCCTGAAACCCAGTGCTCACTCACAGACACATCCACTTGCCTATATATACAAGCATGGAGAACACAAGAACAGCAGCACAGTGCAGCCAACATACATAATATATTATATCAGTCCATAGCTGCTCATGGACTCTGGGTCGCTCAGATCCACGTCCCTGACATGAAGTGTGTTGTCTAAAGAGTTAATACTCAGTAATACTGATTGCATATTTTCATACGTCTTTAGACAAATAAAGCTGTTGTGTTTTTCCCTCCTGAAGATGCACAACATCTTTCCCTGGCTCATGGACCATCTTCCTGGCTACCACCAAACTGTTTTTGGGTATGCAGAGGAGGCCAGAGATTTTATCGAGAGGAAAATCCAAGAGCACAAACAGACACTGGACCCCAGCTCCCCCAGAGACTACATTGACTGCTTCAGAGAGAGAACACTGAAAAACAAAGAATTAAATATCAACCACAAGCAGAAAGTAGATTCCAAAGGGTAACAAAACTATAAGACAAACTGAGAACATAATCATAAAGAAACCAACCAGACGTTTTCTGCTGACTGCAAAGAATACAATACTGTAAATGTGGGCACAGAACACAGTGTCCATGACATTGAATGGTTTAGTTTGCAAAAATCAAGTTCTTTCTAAATATTATTCACTGTTTTTTAACAGTCATAATGATTATATAACTTTATATGAATGTTTAAGAATGTTATAATCATTTCCACTTAAAAAAAAACATATTTAAATCATTAATCAGTGTTATCCTTTCATATAAAATAGAACATCAGATTGTGTCATAATTTATATAAATACATTCTCTCTGCTCTCTGAACTTAATGGATTATTAATTAATTATCCATTTACTAAATTCAGGTAACTTGTTACTGGTTTCTAAATGGATACATAGTTCAACATTTACTATAGACACATGAGGGAATTTTTGACTCGGGTCAAAATTGAACCAAACCAATAAGCACAGGCATGAAATATAAACAGTATGTGTTCCAGTTATAAGTTAACTAACAGCTAGTACAAATTACTTTAGACGTGTCAACAAAGCATAAAGGTTTTTTGAAAATCAAATTGTAATTGCTGTTTAAACTTAGCAAAACTATGTTTCTTGTTAGTGCTGAGCAGGTAACCCCAGTTTCATATGAAAAAGAAAATAAACAATCCAAATAAAGTCTGAAAAAGACTTGATATTGAATAATTTTGTGAAATGCTGCTTTTAGATCATGAGTATTTGCTACTTTAACAGCATTCACTATTAGTTCATATGTGCCTATGCTGTTACAGACAGCATATAACTGTTCAAACAGGTGTCAGAGCAGTTTGTGGGTCAAATCTTGATTCCAGTAGAGGGCAGTGTAGACTGTCAAATAACTGTCGTTCATGTGAGATTTTATTATCAGTTGTTCTTATCAACAAGGTCTGGTTATATTTTGTGTTAGTTGGCATCATTATCAAGTTTGTTGTGTAGTGCAGCAAATTTACATTATCGCCAATTATTTTTATGGATATTTAACACCAATTTTCTATTTAAATCTAGCAAAGTTTTTATCTTTATTATTCAAATCAAGTATTGCAAAGGATTTTGTCAATGAGAATCATTAATGAGGTAAAAGTGTGCTAAGGTGCACAAGATTACAGCATCATATTGGTCATGTGTGTCCAACCAGCCAAACCCCTGTTAAATATAAACTAGCTACAGGAGCCAATCACAGAGAGAAAGTAAGTATATAAGGAAGGACAAAAATACAAAAATGATACAACATTATGGAGTTTTCTGCCACAGTGATCTTGGCAGGGCTAATCTTAGCTCTGCTGTGGCTGTTTAGTGTAAAAAGAAGGAAGTATCGTCTACCTCCAGGACCTGCTCCACTTCCTCTTCTGGGAAACCTGCCACAAATAGACAAAAATGTACCTTTTAAAAGCATACTTAAGGTGAGTTTGGAATTTTTATTTATTTATTTATTAATTTTTAACATTTTTCATATTGTTAAATTGTTCAGTAAGAATAAACAAGAGCACCCTCCATTACTGTTCTGGATTTTTATTTTAGCTGCATGCTGACGTTGCATAAATATAAAAAAGTTTTTTTCTTAGCTTTGTCTTAGTTCAGTGAAACCTATGGTCCTGTGATGACACTGTACATGGGCTGGCAGCAGACAGTGGTTCTGGTGGGGTATGATGCTGTGAAAGAAGCCTTGGTGGATCAGGCAGATGACTTCACAGGCAGAATGCCCGTACCATTTCTGTTCAAAGCTACCAAGGGCTATGGTAACAAGACACCATATATCAT